ATATTTAGCATCGGAACTGTTAATTATCGGTTTCATATAATTGCATTATTATGCCTTAGTCTTGCAAACCATGAGGTCACAATGCAAACCATAAGCTATTAGGCTTGGAGGATCATTCTGCACTTACGTTAATTCCTTTTGCTGTTTCATGTTAACTAGCAGGTTTTACCTCGGTCAAGATCGTTGCGGGAGGCGTACAATGGAACTGTCAGCTGTATCCGCGTCAAGGATGACGTCTCTGAAGAATTTCCTGTAAGTGCTGGTGTTCGTCAGGGTGACGTGATCTCCCCTACGTTGTTCAACGTGGTAATGGACGCTGTCATGAGGAAAACTTTCAACGGAAGGCAAGGCGTGCAGTACGGTGAAGGCGGCTTTCTCACTGACCTGATGTTTGCCGATGACAGCGCAATTTTTGCCGAAACTGACGAGGAAGCGACTAACATCATGTGCTCACTGTCAGAGATTGCCCAGTCGTATGGCCTCAAAATAAACGCGGAAAAGACCAAGGTGATGACCTCGGATGGATCGCCCGCGTCCGTGCGACTGGGTAGCGTCGCCTTGGAGCAAGTGAGTAATTTCAAGTACCTTGGATCGGTCGTTCAAGAAAGGAAAGTGGCTGCCGAGGCTGAGGTCCGCAGCAGGATTGGTCACGCGTCTAAGACATTTGCAGCGTTAAAGTGGTGTCTCTGGAAGAAGAGTAACATATCACTGAAAACCAAAATTCGCATGTTCCGGACGCTGGTGCTCCCGGTGCTACTATATGGGTCTGAGACATGGACGTTGCTCAAGTCGGATCTCTCTCATCTCGAGGTGTTTCAAATGCGTTGTCTCCGCCATATGCTCGGGATCAGGCTTCGTGACCATGTCACGAACAACGCCATCAGGGAGAAGTTTGAAGATCAACCCACAATCGAGGAACAATTGAAACTGCGACGGCTACGATGGTTCGGTCATCTGTGCAGGATGGGTCACGACAGAATACCTAATATGCTCCTGTGGAGAAAACGCCCTGCGCAGTGGAAAGTTCAGAGGACGGCTCCGAAAGAACAAAAAGAACTTATGTTCTTTGGTTGTTGGTTGAGAGAAATTATTCGTGTGAACCACTTTGTTTACAGGAATTTACAGGTCTTCACAAAGTGGCCTAAGCAAGCTTACATGGGCCCTAGTCGATGCCCACACCAAGTCCAATTGCGCCCAAATTACTAAATTTAAACAAACATAAAACGAGGGCCAATTAGTGAGCCAGTCGATGACAGATATCCTAGCAGTAGGTCCCTACGGCCTGCTAATTCAACCTGATTCAGTAAAAGATCCGGGCAAACACCAAACACCCTTGAAGTAGCGGAATCAACACAACAAAAGCAAAGGGGTAATTCGAGCGTTTAAATTCAACGACAGTAACATAAGATGAGAGTATGGGGAGGTGGAGAAGAGTCAAAAGCACGAAGGGTGAGGTCGAGATCGGGCCACGCAGGAGTGAACGGGAAGAGAAGCATCCAGGATGCTTAGGTATGTACACCATATACTGCTCAAACATCAAGAATCTTTTGCATCCTTAAAGAGCATCCAGGGCAGCTTGCAGTGGAACATGCAAGAATGTTGTTCAAGCATCAATTACTGAGTATTTGCTGTTAGTGGAGAATTACCTGACAGTATGTTATGGCGAGGTAAATGCGAATGTGAAAGGCGGAACCATGGAAACGAGCAAAATGCCCCACTAGGAAAGAAGTGTGTATGAGAGAGTTGGCCGTGCGACGTGGTTGAAAGGCTTCACACATGCCAATCTATCCAAGTCTGCTCACAATTAGCACCGTCTAAACCAATGACCATTCGCAGAATAGAATTCTATAAAAAGGGTAAGAAATAATGTCCTCACCGTTAATCAATCCTTTTGTGGGATGTGGGCACGCATTCTACTTCCATTCAGATTCAGTGGATTATTGAATGCGATGTGGCTTATAGAACGCTTGCTGGGGCCATAAGTCAGTGTTCTTATCCTCCCAGTCGAATCTAGTACCAAGTTACCGCTACAGAGAGTAGGAGGCTAGGAGGGGCGGATCCGAGAGTTCACACCACGATCGCACGTGGTAAGCGTGCCCTTTGCCACTATACAACCTCCTCCCCGCTCGTACTTGGAACTCCCGCATTTGAGGGAGCACTGGGCAAACGCTGAAGGATACCAGCTGAGCGTCCACCACCAATGGTTGGCATTATACCGGTTAAGGGCGTATTAGGCGGAATGATTGCGAATTTCGTGAAGAAAAATTTCGTGAGGAAAATTTCAGGCTTCGAATCATTTCTATCCTTCTTTTTCCTAGATTTTTTTTCAAGGTTCCGGAAACTTTCAGCCAGCCTTTCAATTCTAAACTCATTAATCCCTGGAGGGTAGAAAGCTTGCTTGACCTGGGTGGGAGTTTACTCGAGATTTGAATTGAGTTCAGGATCGCGAGAGTGGTAAGCGTGACACTTGCCACTACACCACTTCCGCCTTGGAATTTTACTGTCCTCCGAAAATCTGTACTGCCACAACCTTCTCAGAATTTACACTAGAAATGAATTTGAATCTCAAAATTCTGAATTTAAGTCAAATTTTTTGATTTTTTAATAGCAATTGCAGATGTCCCGAAAACATCAGACATCATATAGCACAAATTTTGCCCAGTGAAGATTTATTACCGCACGTTCTACCGGTCCACTGCGGTACACTTTCATCGAGCACAGGCGCTTGGCAAAAGTAAGATGGCCCCTAAGATTTACTTCTTTGAAGCTAGCGTGATATTCCTCGAGCCTCATAGATGGCATTAAAAACTCAAGATTCCG